GGCCGTGGGATGGTTCCGGCAAAAAAAAAACCCTAAATTGAAATATTGGGTTTTTAATCATCACAATCACCCCCCCATGGTCCCCTCCCCCCTCCTCCAGCCCCCCATATCCCGTACTCACCGGCACCAGAGCCCTGGTGCTGAAACATGAGGCCTGGCCAGCAGTGTGTTTCAGCACCAGGGCAAGGGCCAACCATAGAGATACTCTGGCAGCCAGAGCATCTCCATGGGGGACCCAGCTTCCGGTTGCCTCAGGGCACGGTCAGGGATCATGCTCAGTGCCACTTTTTTAAATGTCAATTTTTTTAGACCCCTGGATATCCAGGAGTCTAATTTTCTCCCTGCGCTGCAAGGTCCTTTTGTTCCCACACATACCTGTTGCCCCACCTCAAAGGGGTTTGAGATGGGGCAAGAGGCATGTGTGCACTCATGTGGATGCGCCCAGAAGGACTTTCTGAGGAGGCTGTCTCCCAAAATACTACCAAAATGTATCAGGCAGCAAGAACAAAGCATTTAGAGGTACCATTAGAGAGCTATTTAATGGCTACAATTAACTTCCAAAACAACAGAAACTTCATGAGTGTCCTGTGCTCCCCTTCTGCTCAATATTCCAGACGGCTTACATTATGCTAATTTTGAAATGGTAACATTGGCTGATTGCTGAAACCGTGATTTATGAATCCTTCCCATCTGACTGACTTAATGGCAATGGCACTCTGCTTATTTAGCATGCTCACATGACCTGTTATTAACTTTGTTTTGAGGAAAGGCTCCTCCAAAGCTAATAGCCATCCAAGAACAAATTCAGTAGTACTCCATAGTAACACTTCTGTAACAATGCTCAGCCAGAAAGAAGTTTACTATCTCCAACAATAAACATGGAAACGATTAATCCCTCAACAAATATGACAGATCTCTTTGCATTCAAAACTGACTCCTCTCCATACACAGGCATGAACTTCAGATCACGCTCACTCTGCAACCATACCAATGTTGTAGACCAGTGGTTCTCAACTTTTGACTCAAGGACTCTTTCCATAACTTTTCTGAATTCAACAGCAACCCAATCTAGTGGTGGGGGAGGACTGAAATTTTATTTCCTTGCACAGGGGCCACTATGGTTGTGTTTTGCATGGCAGCCTTCATGCTTACTTTCTCTGTCCCTGCAACATACTTGTTCAGATCTGGCAGTCAAAAAGTTTCCTCTAATTCCAAAAGCACAAAAGCATGTTCTGCTGTGACCTCTAAGCCCAAGTTCTGGAAACCTAGCTCCAATATCTTGGCACAACGAATTTTTCTAAGTGTGGTCTGTCTCTCTGGGATACTGACTGAATTGCCAAGTAAAGTTATAAAGTCCTTGATTTCCCTATAGCTGTTGTCAGATAAGGGACATTATACCTAACATGCTTCCTGTCAGCAAGCAGCTATTTAAGACACACTCAAGGTTAGACTTAGACACAAATTCATAATTTCAATGTCAATTCATAACCTGTGCAAAGATTTCCCAAACAGTCATAAACACAAAGAGAATGCTGACTCAACAAGAAAAAGAAAAAGAAAAGGAGCCTTACTGTAGTTGGAGATAGTCCCCAGTCCTTATCTGAGGAGACTGACTGTAGCTGCTGTCTCCAGTCCTTACCTGAGAGGGCAAGCATGGCCCAAGTCACCAGAGCCTTCATATATCAGTGACTAGAGCCACCTTCCCCTCAAGAACCTTCCACCAGCCCTGGGAGCATGGAAGAAGCAGGTGGGATGAGCAGAGCTGAAAAACATGGCCCCATGTCCCTCACCTACCCATGGCAGAGTGTGTTGTTCAGTGTGCAATGACTGCCAACTTAGGGACTGCTGGAAGACAGGTGGCAGCACCATGAGTGGAAGTCTCTGGAAGAGCAGCTATTTCCACTTTGTCCATGGGACACTGGGACAGGAATGGGGCACCAGATGGGGGGAATTATTTGGAATTGACAAAATATCAAATCTTGAAAATCTTTATGGGATAGGAAACTCATATCCCACACATCTCTAGTGATTATCCCTGTGTGGCTTTAGCATAAGAGACCTATGTTCTGGCTGTTATTCTTTTCTTTAATTAGAAAAAAACAAAAAAATCCCCTTGGCTTATTGATCCTCCTTGCATAGGGTCTGAGTGCTGCAGCACCCTTAAGATCTCACAGTAGCCTACGATGGCATGGAACCTGAGCTGAGCATCATTGGTGTAAATATACAAGCAATTTACCATACGGGAAAACAGAGAAAAGTTTTGTGGCATGTAAGCTGCTCTATGGTAATTGACCATGTGCAGACAATTACCCTGTAGTATGTAGAAATGATACCAGTTTACTGCAGTTTAGTTTCTACTTACTGGGGGAGACAGCTTGTATGTGGATAATTACTGTAGGCCACCTGACCTTTAAATAAAGCCCCATCCTTCTCCCCTGCACTAAATTATCTATATGTCTAGAAAACTAGTTGGTTTCTTAGTTTAATTAACAAAAAGTATAACAGCCAGAACATGATTCTTTTTTTATGCTGAAGCCACACAAGGATAATCACTAGAAATGTGTGGGAATACAAGTTTCCCATCTCATGAAGGTTTTCAAGATTTTGACATCTTTCCAGTTCCAAATCATTTATGTGCACCAGAACATTTATAAAAAAACAAGAGAGCATTAAAAACATTGTTTGACAACTTCAAAATTTTTCCATTTCCTCATTTCATTTTTTTAATTATGAATTTTTATTTTGAAATGATCCCCTCCGAAGGATATATCTAGAAAATGTTAAAATGTACATATATTTAAAGATTTGATTATAATTTTCACAGAAAAGCTTTGCCTTCCATTAATTTACATTTTCTGGGGGGAGGGGAATCAATGAAAAACTCCAGGCCATCTCTAGTAACATACATACTTTTATAATTATAGTAAATCTCATTCATTGAGCAACTGAAGCAGCAGGACAAGAACTAGGATATGAAAACAGTGGATAATCTGGTTGAAGTCCAGTTCAGTTTATGGTTGTTGTCATCCACCAATAGTTCTTTTCTTCCTGCTCCGATAAATACAGGTGTCTTTTACCTCCCTATGCAAAGGACTGATCTTGTAGATGAATAGGATCATACACAAGTGGCCTCTGCTCCTTTAAAAGACTACATAAATCTGCCATTTAATGGGATTGGACTGAATAAAGGGTCATACAGAAAAACTACGTATATGATCTCCCCATGTTATGGACAAATAAAGCATAATTTGGATTTCATTTCGTATTCAAGGACGCATTTATTTAAAGTATTTCCATGTTGTTTTGCATTAGACTAGATTTTCCTTTTGTAAAATGAAATCCACAACAGATTTCCCAAATGCTTCTTACAAGGTTGAATTATATAACCTCTACAAATCCTCAATTATTAAGCATAAAACAAATTCTCTCGTTGCATGACTTTTCCACTAAAGAAGGCAATTATTTAATTGCTGTACCGAAACAATTGCGACTCTTAATAATCAAATATTTTTCCTTTGCTGACTGCAATCTTCAGAATCATCAAATGCCAAATGTTCTCTTTGTTTCATTTTCTATTACACAAATATTTATAATTTTGAGGTGTTTCAGGAAACACAAACATAAATGTTATCCTCATACAATATGTTTTAAATTTTATTCTAAAGTCTCCAAATACCATACATCAAATCAGAGATGAACTCTGTCTCCACTCATCCAAGAGGAGCCTCTACCTAATTTGCTCTATTTTCAGTATCTCTAAGTGTTGTCACTTTAGAATCTAGGTATTCTACATAAAATAAGTAACATCAATTTTAAAAAGTTTCAGATTTTGTTCTCTTTCCTTATTTTATGCAGTTTTCTTGTATTCATTCTTCCTGAATACTTCCTAAGGAAAGCAGTATTGCAACATGCTTCAGCCACCATGTATGTGGGAAGATGTGCACCATGGGAGAACTATTAACTATTTAGTTTTTGATCCTGCAAAAGATCAGACCTGAATTCATGCATGAGGTTCTATTGACCAGGATTCATCACAGGACTAAGGGTAAGTTCTAGTTAGAGCAGGGGTGGGCAAAATGCGGCCTGGGGGCCAGATGCGGCCCACCAGACCTTTCTATCCAGCCTGCGGGGCCCCTAAAAAATTCAGAAAATTAATATTTATCTGCCCCTGGCTGGCTGTCATTCGGCCTTCAATGGCTTGCCAAAACTCAGTAAGTGGCCCTCTGCCCAAAATAACTGCCTGTC